TCACTGGGGGGGGGGGGGGGGGCTGGGAGAGATTCTTGGGAGCTCTGTAGGTCTCTCCTGGTAATGGAGCAAAACTCGCCGATAGTGGAGCAAAATGGAGCAAAATTCGGAGAACAAAATGAGCATGATCAAGTTTCAGAATTTTCACTGAGGGGGGGGCTGGGAGAGATTCTTGGGAGCTCTGTAGGACTCTCCTGGTAATGGAGCAAAACTCGCCGATAGTGGAGCAAAATGGAGCAAAACTCGGAGAACAAAATGAGCATGAGCAAATTTCTGAATTTTCACTGGGGGGGGGGGGCTAGCGTTAATTCAGCCCCCCCCCCCCTAATATGCTACATAGTCTCTCCACTGTAATGGAGCAAGAATCGAAATTAGTGGAGCAAAATGGAGCAAAATGAGAGCAAAATTATGGGATAATTTCCATCTAGAAATTTTCTATGGGAAGGGCTAACTTAAGTGACCCTATTGTGGCTCACTCCGAGTTTATATTTCCCCCATCAGTGAAGCCCTTCTGTTGAAATGAGCGTGGGGGAAGCATGCTTTATGTATTCGGGTCAAACTGCTGACTCCCCGAATACAGCATGCCTGATTTTGGCTATCGCCGGACAAGTGCATAGGACATGTTCTGTTGGCGCCGACGGTTTCCACCAGTGTACCTGAAAAATTAAGCCGATGTTTTGTGTGGGCCGCTGTCAACAGCACTGACCAATGCCCTGGCCACAGGTTATGTTCCCAATGCTTGGATGGGTCCAAGCAGTTGTCATTTCCACCTATAAAAAGGGTGACCGCTGCCAATTTGGAAACTTAAGACCCATTAGCCTAACATCTACACTTCCCAAATGCATGGAGAAAATAATTGTCAGGGAGCTAACTGGCTTTTTCCTAGAGAATGGCATAATACCAGCGAGTCAACACGGGTTCTTACCGAAAAGATCCATAGATACCTTCTTTCATGTCTCAACGACTGGACTACTTTGCAGGACAGTGGTCAACCAATGGATATCGTATATCTTGACTTTGAAAAGGCCTTTGAAGAGTACCTTTTCACAGACTGCTTTACAAGCTTGATCACTATGGCGTTTGGCGGCCACTTCTGTCCTGGATTGGTGGCTTCCTTACCAAGCGCAGGTTTCAGGTTAGGATAGATGGCGCCTTTTCAGGCGAAAGAACTGTGAGGAGTGGAGTGCCTCAGGGCTCGTTTCTTGGACCGTTGCTGTTCTTAGTTCATATCAGCGATATGGTGACGGACATCAATAATAGAATCTGCTTCTTCGCAGATGACACCAAATTGTACTGTAATCCACTATGTGATGCCATCTCACTGCCGAGCAATCTAAGGACTGGGGAGGTGTGGAATAGAAATTGGCTGAAAAATGTTGAAAAGTGCACACTGCTGCATATCGGTCCAAACAACCTAAATACTCAATAAACCCTCTTTGGAAAAGCTCTCAAAGAGGTCGACTACCAAAAGGACCTTGGATTATAGTTGTGACAAAAGATTGGATGGGAAAACCACATCGCGAGAGGAGTAAAGAGAGCAAACACCTTCATATATCTTGTCCAAAAAACACTTAAGCATCACTCCTTTTCAACAATTTTGAAGATATATAAAGCATATATAAGATCGATGCTTGAGTTTGCTGATAATTCATGGAACTCATACTACGTTAAGGACATTGAACTGCTGAAGCGCGTCCAGCGCCGTGTAAAATGAATACCAACCGAACTGAAAGAACTTCTATGAAATTCGATGCTCCAGGTTAAAGATACCCACTCTAAGAGAACGCCGGCAAAGAGGCGACTTAATACAGACCCACAAAATCATGTCTGGATACTATGGCGTCCAACTGGGGATGCTTAGACGACACTCTAAAAAACTCTCGAAAGATGCACAAAGCTTGCTGGATGGAACTCCCTAACCAACCGGGTAGTATCTGTATGGAACGCACTCAGCCAAGATACTGTGGAAGCCTCATCCTTAAACACTTTCAAAAACAGACTGGATAGAGACCTTACATAATATGTGAATCGCGAATTTGTACATTATTAAGTTTGATTGTTACGATCATAAAGTGGCAGTTTTAATCGGACTTTCCGTCTACTGTCAGACTAACAATAATAATAATCCGAAGAGCGAATCTTGATCTTAACGCCATCTAGGACACGATAATCAACACTACACGCAATTTTGCTGTGCTAAATGGTGTAAATAATAATAATAATAAAAATAGTAATAATAATTTAGAAACCAGAGTGTCCAGCATTCTTCGTACGGAGCTTACAGCGAAAAATAAAATAAAAGCTTTTAATTCATGGGCAATGCCAGCTATAATTTACTCCTTCGGGGTTATTGGTTGATCACAAACTGAAATTAAAGCTACAAATAGATCCATTCGAGTACAACTGACCAAGTTCAACATACATTATTCAAGAGCCTACACTGAACGGCTGTATATGCCACGTAGCACGGGCGGACGAGGCCTGCTAGATCTCAAAACCCTATATCAGGGACAGATAAATAAACTGAAAAAGTACTTTAAGATCAAAACAGAAGAATCAGAGCTGCATAAGATAATCTACGCCCTGGATAACTACTCTCCTGTAAATCTGTCCTCCAATGAAGATGTTCCTGTGCTTAATATGGCTGAATTAAAGACGTCTTGGCTGTCAAAACCGTTGCACGGCAGATTTCCTAATAAGCTGATTGATGCCTATCTCCAGTCCTCAACTGAGTGGCTACGGAAGGGACAACTGTTTGGAGAAACAGAAGGATTCATGGTATATAGCAATACAAGACAATGTAATTGCAACAAAAAATCACATAAAATTTGTACATGGAGTGCAGCTGGATAACGCTCAATGCAAACTGTGTAACAGACATGCGGAAACAATAGAGCACGTTATCTCAGGATGCACTTACCTTGCGAACATAATTCATCAAGAACTGGCAATACTGTGCAACCTAAAAGAACAAAAAGAAAGATATTGCAAATACGTACCCATTCCGATTCTCGAAAACAATACTTACCGTTTATACTAGGACACAACAATACAAACCGACAAAACTGTGGCAAACAACCGACCAGATATCGTGCTTCTCAACAAACAGGACAAGATTGGGTACTTCGTAGATGTTGCTCATCCGAACGATCACAACCTAAATAAAACAGAAAGGGAAAAGATAAGTAAATATTCTGAGCTGGCAGAAGAATTCAAATCTATTAACAATTCAAGAAAAGTCGAAATTTTACCGCGACAGTCATCTCTGCAACCGAATTGGCAAAAAAAAACTGTCGTATTGGAGACGTGTAGGATTGTCAGGAAGACTCTCAACTTACCTGAAAACATGTAATGGCGAAATCCTCTGCTGAAAGAATCGCAAGTTTGAAGCAGCGTGAATGATCACGAATCTCACGTTGTTAAACAACCCTGCAAAGGAGGAAAAAAAAAATCGTCCTTTTCCATGCAAAGGTGACACTCAGCATCTTGTGCTATTCCGGCATCTGATGCCGAAGTCTGTAGTGTGCAGTGTACAGACCCACCAGGGCTTTGAGGCTTTTCCTGTCCATTCCCAGAACTGTGTCCGCCACTTTTTTCCTTTATGTGGTGGATATAAAGGATTTTGCATTTTTCATACTTGGTAACCTTTGCCAGTATCGTATGACCTCTATACTGGCCTAGGTCGAGATTGTAAGGTTGGCTTGCACCAAGTGAAACAAGACGTGCGAGAGAGGGCAAGCTCACAGAATATGACAGATGATACATTTTTTTCTGGAAGGGAAATACTGGAAATGAGCTCCGGATCAAGTAGGCAGGCTTTGCTATACAGAACGAAATTCACGATCATCTTGATGAGCTTCCTTTTGTGATAAGTGTAAGACTCATCATGACTCTCCTTCTTCAGCTCGTAAGCAACCAGAGAGCAACTGTAATCAATGCATACACCTAAACCTTAGATGCCTACAATGACAAAAAAGTGAGTTCTACACTCATCTGGATAAAATCTTAGCAAACATATATCGATCAAACAAAATAATTTCATTCTCCGCCCTCTGCACAGGCACTTTTGGCAAAGATTGCATAGTAGATAAACTGGTAGATCATAT